TATGCGAGAAAGAACATTGTGTTGATATGTGAGAAGCAATATAATGTCACACATGATTCAAGCTCATGTTTTATCGATGCTATTCAATTTGCTCATTGCCCTCACTGATGTTTCGTCCTTAATTTTTGTGTCGCGTTGTTTGAAGTATTCAATTTTAATATTCAGTCAGGTACTCAAACTTATTTGTTTTTTATTGGCGAAGACTGATTTATTCGCTACTTTTTAGTAGGTTGTACCTACGTACGCTGTTCTGATCTCTATTTATGTGCATGATCGCCGCCACGCCGCTATTGCGTCATCGCTGCCTTTACTCACCGACCCTGAGGTTTTTAGTTGTCAGTTCAATTCCTAATCTCACTTCTGTCTTTTCATCTAATAGTAATACGAGGTAACTTTGCGGCATTTATGAGTATCATAAGCTCTATACTGCCAATTACCTGTTATCCTTTAAGGATATTCGATGTGTTTTCGTAACGTTGATTGTCCCCTAATATTGTTGTCGTCTCGTTTTAAGCTTACCCAAGTGGTAACATTAAAGCAAATGATGACACACTGAAATAATTTTAGAAGCGTCAAGTAGGTCGATGACTGCAGTAAGCGCCGTCTCTAGCACCTCATTGCATGTTTCCAGCGCATTATGTTCGTAAATATTGATATACAGGTATCTACACAAGAAGTGAGTTTCACCTATTGTACGCTTTCGAACCGACCTGGTCAGGACCTTAAGTATAGTGAGTCACTCGCTTGTATATCGATCGCTTCATCATGCTCACCCTTTATTATCCATATCGATTGCTTCACCGCACTACAGGTCTTCTGCTTCGATATCTACACCGGTATTATTGTAACACCGAGAGTGTTTAAATGTTTCAGGTTACTGCTCTTATTTTATATGGTTTCCTACCTAGCTATGGACATCAAGCCGCGTGTTGATTTGATTTTCAACATTTGAATTCAAAATTTCTTGATTGACTACTCGTATGTTAGTGCTCACGGTTTGATCGGTTTCAATTCCTTTAAAGTCGTAATTATTTTATTGTTACCTGCTGCTACGAGAAATACTCACGTAGAAAATATTTCATTGGTGTTAGAGTGTACAGTAAGAATCTGTGAGAAATAAATAAATGATCAATGATCAGAATTTGTCAGGATTCAGACTAAGTAATTCAGAACCCGAAGGTCTCATCCGCCTTTCCCCGAAATAAAATACGTGCTGTAGTGTATCTTTGAATTAATGTTCGCACTGAAGCATGAAAGAGTTGGCCAGATACGCGCGTACTGCTTGGGTGTGCTGCATGTCGCCAGCTGCTGCTCCAGAACACCTGAGGCTGCATTGCCGGGCTCTTGTAGTGCATGTCCTTCCGCTGCAGCATTTATGCTGCTGCACGCTATGATACTGCTGCTGCTGTACGCTGTGATACTGCTGCACACTGCTTCGTCTCTGTATATGTTGATGATCCACTGCATGTTGTTGCATTGTATGCTAATGTTCTACTGTTTGGTGCTGCTGCATCACTGTATGCTGATGTTCTACTATTTGGTGCTGCTGCATCACTGTATGCTGATGTTCTACTGTTTGGTGCTGCTGCATCACTGTATGCTAATGTTCTACTGTATGGTGCTGCTGCATTGCGTGCTGCTGCTGCATCACTGTATGCTGATGTTCGACTGTATGGTGCTGCTGCTGCATCACTGTATGCTGATGTTCTACTGTTTGGCGCTGCTGCACTGCGTGCTGCTGCTGCATCTCTGTATGCTGATGTTCTACTGTTTGGCGCTGCTGCACTGCGTGCTGCTGCTGCATCTCTGTATGCTGATGTTACACTGTTTGGCGCTGCTGCACTGCGTGCTGCTGCCACTCCAATTAATGCCGCTGCAGTTTTGCTGCTGTTATCGAGTCTGAGAATGAAAAAGACGGTTTCTTACGATACTTGCTGGAATATGTGCTTCATCAGTCGTTAATGAAAACTTGAGTTTAGATTCATTTTTGTATTCCAGCAGAGATTAATGTCATTTCGTTGAAATTATTTGTAAAACGTGCAACAAAATGGAATTTACATGTACCGGTAATTGTGATTCATTTGTTATTATTGTTATTTTTCTTCTAACCGAGTGACTAAGGAAGATTATTTGTCATTATTATCTAAAAGTTACATCGACGCTAGTATTCGAAACTGATATCGATCATGTGACAGGTCTTACTCGTCAAGCGGCGCTCACCAGACCTCACGAATAGCCGCGATCTCGCGCCAGTGTCTCTCGTTGACGGCGATCATTGCACTCGGTGTACGTAACGGCCGCGCTGCATGCGGGTTCTCGGGAGCTGCGAGAGCGACAAACTGCAACCACAAGTCGCCTAGCCCGTGGCCAGCCTAAAAATTCTATAAAAGATCACATTTTTTGGTGGTGGTAATAATGTGGCTCACACATATGCTCTCAAAGTTTAGATAGTTTTTTATGTTACGCAACCGAAAAATGATGTCATGGCATGGAAGTTAAGTTTGATGATCTGTCCACATATTTGCACGTTAGCTGAGTATATGTGTTTCCCCAGGGATTTTTCACAGTCCATAGTCTCGAGTAACCGTGCAATCGCGTGCTAAATACTGTGCTACCATTGAATTGGCGTCACAGATTGCGAAAGGCGCTGTCGCGTCTATTCGCTCCCTCATAAATTTTCCATAGCATAAGTGATGGTTATTTTCAGAGAATACCGGCAAAAAATTAGTGAATTTTCTCGTCATGACACTTGTATCGCTCGGTAGGATGAGTAGCATTGCTTAATCCGATTCCTGGATAAGCATACAATGATGATGAGGTGACTATTGTTAGTCGAACAATGCCATAGAGTTCCTTGCGACATGGCTGGTGCAGTTTTACTGCTTGTGAACTTTCCTCTGTATTGTGAGGCTTGACATGCATCAGAGTAAAATAATGCTTAAGAGTCATGTTAGCTTTGCTTCTAATTATGCATAATGGTGAGAGTGTGGTCTGCGGCTCATCCTGCAGAATGAGTTGACTTCCCGGCATGCAAGGTGTGCTTGCGACGTTCTGCTTCCAACTCTCTGCTTAGACCTCTCATGCTCCGGTCCAGCGCTTGCCTAAATTGTGTGTATAACTTAGTTTATTTGTGCACAGAATAAATAGGACTGGTAACTTGACCAAAGAATCTAGGTTTTAAAAAGATTTATATACATATAATATTATGTTTAATATACACTTTTATTGAAAAAGAGATTCTAAGATCGGCATATTTAGCGCGTTAGGGAAAAGAATGAACAATGTTTGACAGCTCCCTAGCCAATGCGGATGTCAAACAGTAGTTCATGTCTTTGATGAACTCGCGTTCTTCTGTGATTAGCCTCTCATGTTACTCAACTTTTCTCGTGCATCGCCGACCATGAAGGCTTCCTGGCATTGTTGCGCTCCAGTTACAACGTTTCCTAAACTAACAGCTCGAGCTGCCGCTCTCTGTTGTGCTTTCGCTCTCCCTCCTAACGCAATTTCCAGTCTCCTAGAGTTTATGTATCTCTCTGCTATTTTCTTTGTTATTTAATAGAAGTTTTTCTAAATTTAAAAATAAATAAATAATATAAAAAATCAAGTATTACATTGTATTTGGTGCCGTGAAAGGGAGAGCCGGGAAGTCAAGATCAGAAACTCACATATAGAGTTAGTCTAATTTTTTGAGCTTCTAAAGTGAATACTTAATTAAGATTTGAGACTTAGCCAAAACGACGTATTTCACACGACGTGGTCTGATCGGAGCTGAATGAGTTTGTTCAGCGGAAATTCCCTGCCACTAAAAGTTGCTCCTGTGGTCACTTCCTGGAAGTTTGGTCAACCGTCACGGACTCACGGTCGCTCCCTGTATTTCCCATCTGCTCGCTCTGCAAGTGCGACATGTTCATTCTCATCGAGAAATTTTCACAAGCCTAATATTGCAAATAATACGATTAAAATATGAGTGTTGTTTACTAAAAAACTCCATACTATCGTATGGATTTTTTTCCATTTTATGGATTCTTCACATATAACATTGTGAGCTAATTATCTTTGATACGCCTCCGATACTACATCTAGTAGCCGTGTTGCAGTAAATTGTATTGCATTATTCCGAAGCTGAGCTACGGATCACACTTGACTGCATGTAATCAAATTCTGGTCGTCTCGTTATTAAGGACGGAGTCGGGCCCTCATTTTTATTGTTGTTAATTGCCTGGCGTGACTTCCACGGCTCACTGAATGGCTGTCATGTAACGGAGTGGCTCCATTGCCGACGTCCTCGACCAGCTGCTTTAAATTCAAGAGATGCGGATGAAGAATAGATGAAAAATTGATTATAAAAACTACTTTTTACCTTTTAAGGCGAGACTCAAACTGTTTAATTTAATATTTGTAAGAAGCTCAAACTTGATACGTATAGTAGATTTCTTTCAGTCATATTGCATGCTCTAGGTTCCAATTAAATTACAGTCAATGTATTCTAATTAATGAATTAGTATGAGCATATCAGTGTTCGTGCTCCACCTTTACTTAAAATTTAGATAATAATTGAGCTCACATAAGTCCGGCTACTTATGACCCGTTAATTCTGCTGTGATCGAGCCTCGTACAGAGCCGCCTGCTACGTGGAGGGCATTTGTACATCGCAGTAAACGATGTATATTAGTAAACGTTCATCGTAGACTCGAGCGTTTCTAGCTCCACACTCATCGGTCTATATCCTTGTTGTGGAGAGCTTCTTGCAGGGTTACAAGTGTCGGTAGTCGAATATGTTAGCGGCGTGTCGTGCGATTTAGTATGTTGCAAGTATCACAAAGCGGCGACATCTTCGACGGGCTTCGACTACTTGGAGGAGGACGACAAAGACGGAGCATCAGCTTGACCGTGGCCTAACTCATCATAAGATCATATTGTCGCGTGTGTTGCATGTATCGCGAGTAATGATTATTGTTTGTATGTGTGTTTTTTTTTAATTTATTGTTGCCTGTGTGCAGTGCGGGCGGGCAGCGTGGTGCTGCTCGTGGGTGTCGGGTCACTGGTGTGCTGGAGACTCTGGACGCAATGGCGCTACGGCGACGACGAGGCTGACGGCGCTGTGGACTCCCGGGGACCCTCACCGAAGGTGACTCCCAGGAGGAGCGAGGCGGCGTCCTCACGTAGGCTGGGGATCCTGGCTTCGCTCCTGGAGGAGGAGCTCGTCCAAGAGGATGGCGGTGGTGGCGACGACGAAGATCCAGCATTAATCCAAGTGAGTTCACGGAGTCCAAGTCAAGCAACCATTCACAAGAAAAATTCAACGAATAAAATGATTAGCGAACCTGCGTGAACTTTCACTTAAAGCGCCTTTTGCAAATGAATGTAGAAATATTTACGGTTCCATTTAGATTCACCTGTGTAAAAACTGGTTTTCTGAAAATTTGATGTTTAAGTTGAAAACGTATTTCTGCATTTTTGACAACCTGAAATAAAACTTTTAAAGTTGATAATTATATCAATGTTCGAAACCCGTTAAAATTTCGTTTTACGAGTTTACTTCAGAAAAATATTCATATCATTTTCCCAAGGATAATATTTTGTGGCACTTGACTAAACTCCAATGATAGAACAAGAAAGGCAATTAAATTAAATTCAAATGTTTGTGTTTACCTGAAAAAGCACTGGAGTAATTCTTTTGTTGTAATCTTGCCAGACTTACGCGCCTGACATGCAGGCTAAAAAGCATAAACAGTGTGGTGCACATCTATATATAGTAATGAAAGTTAAATTCGACGGTATTCACAGAATGCATAACATATTATTAGAACTAGGAGAAACTTTATTCGAGTCTCTACATGATTTTCTCTTACCGTTTTCTAGTCATAAAACTCAACAATGATATTCTTTATTTTATGGTGTTTTCTCTTCCAAGTTTGTCGTTGTAATTTATTCGTCGTTGATAAACATGTACCTTACGTATTCTGCTTCAGCCAAGCGGGTTCATCGTCACAAATTGTGATAAGTTCGTGGCGTTGCGCAGCCGTTTTCTGCAATACCTTGCAATACTGAGGCTACACGAAATTTGCAATACCACATTAAACGCGATCATCACATTAAACGTGACTATCACATTAAACGTGATCATCACATTAAACGTGATCATCACATAAAACGTGATCATCACATAAAACGTGATCATCACATTAAACGTGACCATCACTTTGAACGTGATCATCATATTAAATGTGATGATCACATTAAACGTGATTATAAAATTAAACGTGACCATCACGTTAAGCGCGATCATCACATTAAACGCGATCATCACATAAAACGTGACTATCACATTAAACGTGATCATCACATTAAACATGAGTATCAGTTTAAACGTGACTATCACATTAAACGTGATCATCACATTAAACGTGATCATCACATTAAACATGACCATCACATTAAACGTGACTATCACATTAAACGTGGTCATCACATTAAACATGACCATCACATTAAACGTGATCATCACATTAAACATGAGTATCACATTAAACGTGACTGTCACATTAAACGTGATCATCACATTAAACGGGATCATCACATTAAACGTGATCATCACATTAAACGTGATCATCACATTAAACGTGATCATCACATTAAACGTGATCATCACATTAAACGTGACTATCACATTGAACGTGACTACCACATTAAACGTGATCATCACATTAAACGTGACTATCACATTAAACAGAAAATAATTCTATAGCAGGAAATTCTTTGTGAACTGAGGGGAAAGTTTGTTTGCTTGTATGAGGATAAGATTTTATTTAGTGCGTACGTTGATGTTGTTGATGTGCACTGCAGTTGCTGTACTTGCTGAAGGAGAACTTCTTCGACATAGCGCCGGTCAGTGGCGTGTTCCGTCAAACTCATACATTATAACAACTAAATTGATTTTAACGAATTAAACAAAACTGGCTTTTCATCCAGAGGCTTATTTTAAAGCGACTAACGACGTACGAGTGTTTCCCGCACCTTGCAATTGGTTTCCCGCGTGGCTTTTTCTAACAAATGAACGTAATTCTTCGCTCATGCTTGCTGAATAAATGTTCATAAAGTATGCATGACAATTCTGAGAAGAGTGACACTTCTCACTGTTCCTGCATGTCCAATGCAGTTGGCTTACCGGTATATCTTTGCAAAAACTGGTTGAATTTGAATTAATATAATGCCGCTTGTTTTGTCTTTGTTAGCGTTTTTTCACAGTTCAAACTAACTTATACAGTTACAGTTAACTAACTTGAAACTAACATAAACAGTTTCAAAAACTAACTTATAATTAGGGAAATGATCGTAATTAAAGACCACGTTGGGAACAGATCCTGTAGTGTCTCTCCCCTCTCGTGCTAATCTAGCGACAACTCTGGTCTGAAGATTGTCAACATAATTCATTCAATATTTTTCTTTAGCTAAAAGATCAAACCATTTCCAGGGCCGCTACTTCGGGCCGGACAGTCCGGGCTACGAGCAGAGCCGGGGTGCGGGCGTTGCCGTGCTGCCAGGTGACCTGCAGTCCCGCTGTGCATCCAAGGTATGGCCAGATAATATCACCTTCAAGACTAATGCTTGTCATTTATAATTAGATATTACATTTTCGTTAACATTTATCCATCTGCTGAGCTATATTTATCTTACATCTTCGTATTATGTTTAAATGAGAGAACATTGACTGTTATTTCAGCGAATGTTTTGTGTTCAGCACTTGTAAAATTAAACAATGTATTCATGATTTAAGGCGCGGAACAGGAAGAATGAATTTCTCACAAGTCCTTCATTCCAGCGGAGAAGTGAGCGTGAGCAGTTGCTAGGGGCGCCGCCCGTCGACGCGAGCACCCCCAGCAGCAGCAGCAGCGCCGCGTCGCCCTCGGAGCAGCGCTACCTTGCCGACCACAGCGCCTCGGCCTCCTCTAGAGACAAGGTCCGGCAGAGCTGACTATTTTAATAAACTTTAAAGAGTTAGTAGCGAAATGCCTTTTGCAGAGACCAGGTCCGCCAGAGCTGACTAGTTAGCTAAACTCAGAAGAGTTAGTAGCGAAATGCCTTATGCAGAGACCAGGTCCGGCAGAGCAGACTAGTTAGCAGTTAGCTGAACTTTGAAGAGTTAGTAGTGAAATGCCTTATGCAGAGACCAGGTGTTCGAAAGTTGTTGAATATTTTACGAAGATTTGAAGAGTGTACAAGTTAGTAGTGCAATGACCTGTGCATAGACAAGGTGTTTGAAAGTTGTTGGATATTTTACGAAGATATGAACAGTGTACAAGATAGTAGGAAAATGCCTCATACAGAAACTAGGAGGGGTAAAATAAATACTCTTGGGGTAAATTTAACAAAATACGAAACCAAGCTATCATTTTCTTGAAATCAGCATGATGTATTTATTACATAAAACAGATTTAGAATTTGCCATGAAAAATAGGGATTTAATCTTACATTTTTCCAAGCAAGAAGTATAAAGATTTAGATGTTGAATGTTGGAACTAAATACGCTGACTGTAACAACACTGAAGCAGACTACGTTGTCGTATGTTCTTCAGAGGCAAGATGCGAGGATCTTGTTAATTAATTTCTATGTAATCTAAAAACCGCACATGGAACAACTTTTTCATACCCACCGATATGTTCAAAATTAAAATTAAAATCTAAACGCATTAGATATCAATCTAAAGATGCTACACTTATAATGCATACACCTATAATGGATTTAAAATAATTACAATTTTTCTCACAAATAACTTTCGAGCATTTCCATGAAATTCATAATCTTTTAGATATATAGATATTTTCGATAACATTCACATTTACCGAGAACAGCTACTATTATTTAATAAGATTACATTCAAAATGAAAGAAAGGGAACGGCTCATAAAAATGACATAAATTTGTTATTTACTGGTGTCAGGAAGAGAGCAGCAGCAGCGGTGGGGAGGAGAGCGTCGCGGAGGCTCGGGCTGCCGCGCGATGTCGCCGGCGACGCAAGAAGATCAGCAGGACGCGCCTCTGCGAGCTCCAGAGGTGCTGCCTTAGGCCTACACTTCCTGCTGGATCCTCGGACCTGATAGATTTAGTTTTAAAATGAACATGTCAATTTACGTTTTAAGTGCTACTCTCATTTTAAACTTTCCTGGTTTCCTTTGTTCTATCTTTCTTGTTTCACTTTTTGCTTTCAGCGATTTTTCTCATATTGTGAACCTTTTGGTTTTTAAATACGAGATGAAAGAACTGACCGAGTGATATATAATCCAAAAGTGTCTCAAATGATCATTTACAGTTGAAATATTTAGTTGAAAGAGGCAAATATTATGATGTATTCGTAAGTTATATTTTTTTTTGACAGCAGAGACAGTGAGTCTTGCACGCCTGAGACGCGTGACGTAAGCCAAGAATCTACAAGAGAGATTGAGGTAAGCCAAGTTTGATGTGAAAGACGGATGTTGTAAAATTAGATATTCTTTGGACGGGGTTTAATTGAGTATTATTGTCGAAACTATTGAGTATTATTGTCGGAATTGATTGTCGAAAATATCATCCTGCTTGTTATAATATTAAATTATTTGATGTCCTCTTTTTCATTATTAACCCAATGTAGATTTTGTTGAATATAAAGGAAAATGCATGATTTCGTTCAGGATTCACTATTGAAATATTTGTGCGCTGTATGGGAGGTTTTTCTTTCAGTTTGCCAAGCGATGTTACTTCGCAAATCCAGGCTCGGATGATGACGGGGGCTCCACTGATGCCATGGGGTACGTATCCTGATAATAGGTTAAAAATTTAAACGTACAGATTTAACTCTATAATAAATTACTGTTTTGTAAGCTTAATAATGACGTTTTTATTAGGAATGGCGGACACTTTCAGCAATCTGAATAATTTGTTCATCAATGAAAGTATATTATGCTAGAGTTGACATACCAGAATCGGTGTTTGATTGTACTTCCGCACACTGCATGTGTTTATTATGGTTTAACTTGCGGCAGAGAACCATGCGAGGATGTGTGGTCAGGAGCGCCGTATTCAGATCTGCTAGAGCGCATGCGATCACGTCAGGTGCGTCGGTCGCTGTCCCGGGACCCTTCTGTCTGTTCCAACATGTCTGATCTTATGTCACCAAACTCATCCCATTTCCGACTGCCCTTCAAACGTGAGGACTCTGTCTGCTCGAACCTCTCTGACTTCACGGTGTCCGAGTGCTCCGAACTTTCAATGGACGTCTCCGTTAAAGAGGAAGTTAACAACACCTTCAGATGCCTGGAGGAAATTGAGCAGGATCTTGATGAGCTGAAAACTTCGGTTTTGCAAATGGACGAGGAAGTTGCATTGTTTGCGACCAAGCCTAACCCGTACTCGCTGAAGATGACTTTCTCGGACTATTCTTTGTCGTCCAAAGAGGATAATGATTCTCTTCCTCACCTTCACGATGAGTCATCTTGTTTGGACGTCCAGCAAGTGGTGCTTGTCGGTGCCGCCTCTGCATCATCCGATGCAAGAGTTCGAGAATTACCTGGGTTGCCAGCACCTGTCAACGATGATAAAGTGCCAGCTGTGTTGACGCTATCGGGTGGCAAGACTGTTAACGGCATCAGTGCCACCCGTCAACTATCGGACACTGAGGCAGAGGCATCGCTGGAGTGGGACTCGCCCCGCCACGGCTGGTCGACTGTTCAGCCGTCCGAGGCTGTCACTCAGGTGAAATAAACATATGTACTTAAGCTTCCAATTAACCTGGGATTGTGAAGGGAAAATCTAGGAATTTTTTGCCAATAATATTGAAATGGTGACAGTATAATGCACGTAATTTAAATATCAGAATTTAAAAAAAATTATGTGACGTCTCCTGCTATTGAAATATTGATGCTGTAGAGCGTGGCGCACAAGGAGGAGGCTCTGGTGTCGCTGGAGTGGGACCATGGGGGCGTGAAGCAGCTTCCTGAGCCTGCGCTGCCCCTGCGCCGCCACGGCAGCCCTCACGACTTCCACGACAACACGGCGCTAGGGTGGGTCGTCAGCCTGCCGTTATTCTTGTGTGAATGTCTGGAAATTAAATTCAGAAGCTCAAAACTTACATATTTCTCAATTTATAGTATTGACGATGAAATAGGTAAATGATGAAAATGATTTCATCAAATTGTACTTTAGCCATCGTCATCCAGAGCAGAAATTCGAAGACTTAAAATTAATCATCTAACGGTAGCGTTGTAGTCAATGATCACTACCTCAGTTTGGGGTAGCAAGGGAGCAGCTGTTCCGCCGTACATAGGTTGCGTACTATGATAATTTCTCGTTGCTAATGCAGGGTTTTTCTATCCTTGTATGTAGCTTGCAAAAAATGGAAGGATTTGAAGAATACAAGAAAACTTGCCGCAGGTAAGAATGATATTTTAATCAAGTTGATCATCGAAATTGATGTGTGTTGGGTGAGATCGCTTGAAATTTACGCAATGTTGTTCACCTAAGTCTAATATAAATGTTAGACAGTATTTTTCTATCACAATGGTATTCGAGTCATACTTTGTCTTATCCATTCCAGAATTTCTTTTACTCGTCTACAAAATATTCCATGTATAGAATGAAGAATACTTCACACACCGTCTTATTGCGACTGCAATAAGTCGGTCTTACCAGAATCGCTTATTTGTTTGGGCATATCATAATCACTTGCTATCGTTTTAGTTTTATAATCATTCTTTCGTTTGATCGACAGAAGCCAGTTGTTGCCGGACCACTCGTCACTCGAGCTTGATCTTGAACTGGAGCTCAACGGTCCAGCGTTGCTGCCACCCAGCATCGGTCCAGACCAATGCCAGGCGTCGCCCATACCCACGCCGCTGTTACAAGGAGCTGAAGGCCTCCCCAGTATTAAGGGCAAGAAATCTTTGATGACGGAGTCCACAGACTCCGCCATCGTGACCTCCATGACTGCTTCAGGGCTCGGAAACTTTGAGCTCACGGCCTCGGTCACGGCCGTCATGGAAGGCTCGACGGACTCTGCCATCTACTCGGCTCCAGGCTCACGTTCCGCGACCGCCAGTCCTGTGCCCCAGAGCTTCCTGCCTTTAAGGTACGCTGCTGAAGCTGCTCTAAGCAGGAGGAGCAGGAAGGGCAGGAAGACGGTACTTTCTGCTTCAGGGCCTGCAAATGTTCCTTCTGCTTCGCTCCCTGCTTTATCTCCTGCTGATCCGGCGCCTCGACCTGCCTCGCTGCAACTGCCCTTGCATGGGGTTCTCGTTGAGGCTAACAAGAAGAGCTGTGGTGTTGCTGCTAGCGGCCACTCAGGCGTGCTTAACACTCCTCTCAGACACTCACTCTGCTTGCCTGCCGCGCTCTCTTCTTCTTCATTAAGTTCTTCATTAATTTCTCCTCCACCCCTTGGATTTTCTTCTGTCATGTCATCGCTTTCACTAGATTCTCATCCTTCTCCTCTTGATTTGATCACCCCTGAGTCTATTGAAGACTATACCTTGATTGAGAAGTGGTTAGCTGGCTATCCTGACATGGACAGCAGCCGTAGCCCATCTACGGCCTCTACTTTACCTTTAGGAAAGAGTATTCGTAATCCTCGTATCAATTCGAGCGAAACAAGTCATTCTCGCAGGTCTTCTGATTCTTGTTATCGTAGTAATAGTTCAGGGACCCACAATACCAGTTGTTGCCATCCGTGCAGCCAGTGTAGCGCTGTATTGAACACTGTCTCTGCGCTGCAGGGCATCCACACTGCGCTCAAGATATCACCGTGCCAAGAATTTCCACAGGCTTTAGGGCATCGTTCGCGTGGATACTGTTTCGAATCTCATCAGTCTGGAGGTCTTGATGCTCGCTCATCATGTAGTGAAAGAGCAATGAATTCGGGAGGTAATCATAGGTGTGGGTCCTGTTGTGAAACAAACTCGGGAGGTAATCATAGGTGTGGGTCCTGTTGTGAAACGAACTCGGGAGGTAATCATAGGTGCGGGTTTAGTTGTGAAACAAACTCGGGAGGTAACCATAAGTGCGGGTCCTATTGTGAAACAAACTCGGGAGGTAATCATAGGTGCGGGTTTTGTTGTGAAACAAACTCGGGAGGTAACCATAAGTGCGGGTCCTGTTGTGAAACGAACTCCGGAGGGAATCATAGGTGCGGGATGTTTTGCGATCGGAAGTCGAGAGGTTATGGCTGCCATGGATCATGTCGTAAACAGCTGCCAGGAGACTCTTACGGGCCGGTAACAAATGAACGCATTCCGTCTGCCAAGAATTTCAAGTGCTCCAATGTTTCGTGATGCTGAACCATAATTCGATGCAATGGTGTTATGCGTTGCGAGGAGTGAGGCGTATTCTTTTGTCCTTAATTGCTGAAATTTCTGAGGGGAAAACTCATGAATGGTTACTGTACAAACTCAATCGCGTTACTGTACGATCGAACCTATGCTTAAAGGTCTTGCACTCGTTGCAAGGGTAATTTTGATGTCGATTATATTATTAGAAAAACCCTTTCTTGAGATGATTCAGACAAATGTAAATACCCATGTGTGTTGTGGAATCGTATTGTCAACAATCTAACAGTGAATCGAGCGTTAATTACCCTAAAATTTGGTTCTTGATAGGTCAGTTCAAGGAGCGACTATCCATGGCCACTAATACTAAGCTTCCATCAGACGAATGTGTGGGGGCGAGCTCCTATAGTGCCTAGTCTCTCATACATGATTACTCTTCAAAAAGTTGCTCTGCAATCCATGTTCAAATTCTGGCTCAAACGGCGCCACTTTCATAAATAACTGCCTTAACTGCTTCGTGCCTTCCTAGTATGCAAGAGACGTGACAAGAAAGATCACTGGCATCACGCTTACACCTAGAAATCTCAGTCACTTTCTCTTTGATACAATCCTTATTTGTTGATGTTTTCTGTTACTCTCTTTTTCTTTTTTTTTATCGCCCATTGCCTTCGGTTATTTCGTCAATTTTGTACTTTTTATTCTATTTAAAAAGTTTGGTTTTCGCGCCAATACCGACCCACAATATCGAAGAATCAAATACTGCAGTTGTAAACTAGTGCTGTTGTGGCAAGCTACTTTCGAAAAGAGTTATTGGAGTGATTTCTTTTGCTGGACTAATTTTCGACTGCAATGTAATACGTTGGAGAGTGTTCAAATAATCTCACGGTGTCGGTGATCTACAGTTTTTCTAATAACTCGAAGGAGTTGAAGCTCGTGCCTGTTATTTTGCGTGTTACATTGGCAAAATGAATTCTGACTAGTTGGATGAATACAGTGTGCCATTAAGAATAATTCAACTGGAAAGACTAATAATCGTAACTAAATTATTCGCTTTTCGACGAACAATAATTGAACATGTGTGAGCTCAACTTAGGAACAATAATCATCTTTCAAACGAAGAGTGCCTCAGGAGCAAGATTCTTACGTCAACGATACACTGAACAGCCATCCTCGGGCTCTCAAAAACATGTCATTGCTTCCACCTAACCGAGGTGCGTGGAGTTGTACGTACACTCTTCCCTGTGACGCCTGGCAAGTGCGCATGATCTGTCATAGTTTACGAGTTGCCGGTACGTTGATAAGTAAATCTCAATGCATCGAATGTGGGGCTTGAAGTTCGAAAGCATATCTTTCTTGTTAAATGATGCTATTCTATTTATTTTATTTGAGCATGAACTCAAAAATACTAATAATTTCTTACTCGTTCTATTAATTCTGTATCACCCAGGTATTCATGCAATTTGAACGAGTACTTAGACCTCGGGGGCTGTTTAGCCATAAATCTTGATGTGATCCACTATTCATCGATGGAAAGTGTAATGTTAGGTATGCAATATCGTTAAGATTCCATTCAAATTCTATGATTTCATACGAAAGATTTTCATCAAAACTCATTTACCTTTCTTCGTCACACAGCCCACCATCGACTCAGCCATGCATATAAGCTTCCTTCAACCTCTTCATTCGTCGTTTTATCATCCACCACTTGCTTCGCTTAAAGCAATTGCTGACTATACTAATTTTTTTTTCATAAAAGTTTTTAATTACTCGCTTGCTTTAATGAATGCTCGCTTTCTTGTATATTTCCGTATACCAATCGCTGCATTTTCCTAGCATCATTAATTGTTACCTGCTGCTTGATGCCCTGCTTAGTTTCTAGCTTACCCTCTTACATGCTTGGTTGTTCGCGTATCTACGTAGCTACTTGCAGCCATATACGCAGAGATTGTCTTTTTATCCTAAATATATAGCGTTATTTGTTTTCATTTTAATCTGTTGAATTAAGATGTTTCTTGATTCATTTTCAACGATTTTCGATCGTGTTGTTGCCGACGATTAGGCTATACAGTGTTCACTCCGTGCAACTATATATATATACACGAGCTATGCATTACACTGCTGCATGGTTGGCTCTCATAGGGTCTTGAACTTGTACATTACATGGAAGGAATACACTGAATCACGGTTAGTATAATTTACAGTGAAATTCATGAAGAAGAGGTCTCACTGAAGTTGGGTTTTCGTTCACATCTGGAACATATTTACTTGCGTATCAAATTATTTCTTTTTTTTTTACAAAAAGAGCAAATTTTGATGCACTGCAAGTTGCGTTTCAAGTTTATTGAGAACGTCTGTCTCTCGACCTTACTAGATAGACAGGATCACTTATATGTATGCCTGGTTTTTCATGCACATGTATACTTGGCGCTGCGATCGCGTCACGCCCATAAATAGTCCCGGTGACGAAACTTGCGACAGTTTGTGTTGAGAAGGCGTTACGATAGCAACTTAGCAGCTGCTGGATGAAAACAGCTGTTAGGAAACAGGTGCATCATGATGTTGTTGATGTGCCACGTTGTCGAGGCCTCCTTGTGGTACTTGCACTCGAGACTTGTGGAGGCCGCCGTCTCGTTCCTTAGTGATGGGCTCATGTGAGTTAAGGAGATTCCGGGCATACGTAATCCCGTTCGGGTTTATGAAATTTTTTCCAAAACTGCGTCAAAATCTCCGGGAAAAAGAGCTTCCATCATTAAAATGAGTGAAACCTGATTCTGATTTACTAAAAAAATTAGCGATCAAAGTTATTCCGCCTGTTACTGAGGTAATTGTATCGTGAAGCAGATTAAAAACTATATTGCATGTTAAAATCTATCACAAAATTCTAAATTTTCCATGTTCTGAAATGTTCTGAAATGTCCGCTGTGCTCAGCGTGGCTTGTGGTGCAACGCAAAAATGATGCGAAAGACGTCTTCTCACCCAACTTCACTTCTAGATTGGCTTTCTACTAGTTGAAAATACAAAATTTCTTGAAATTCATGATTTTATACACATCGCATTGTGGCATACCGAGCTTTATGTTCACAAATACGAAATAGTGTTTCTAATTGTTTCTGGACCTCTTTTTCGTACTGAATTCCGATATAAATTGGGACTTTAGCCTCTAAGATTCACATTCATGAGGTGTTAATAAATATAAATAATCCTGCAAGTAATAACTGAACGTTAAACCACGCTAAATAAATAAACATATTCAAGACCTATACATGTGAGGAGAAAATTCAAGTTCCTCTTTCAAACAAGTCACGACTGTTGGCACCCAGTCAAGTGCCGCTGCTGCTGCACGCTTCTCTGGCGAGAACTCCCTATTTCTTGAGACTTTAGATGGTGGAACTTAAAGGTTCAGAAACTTATTCGTAATGATGAAACACCTCCACCAACTCAGGATAATGCGGATTTAAAATCAGAGTAAAAATTATCGCTTCGTGTCTTTCTAAAATGAAAATCCCAGTCTTCTGTGGCTTAAGAAATTTTTCTATTCAGTGAAGCTTTCAGCTAGCGAAGATTCGTGCATTGTACAAGTCTTGGAACATTTGTGAACAATGTTCATAAGTCACATGACCTCGAATTCATATTGTTTTGCCGTAATGAATATGTTGTAGATGGCCGGAGTTGCCAAGTCGCACCCAGCGGTTGACGGGTGTCGGTGACAGGGCCAACTGAGTCACTCTGCCCATACTCATAATAACTCATAGAGTCATACTGTTCATAATTATCCTAACTCATAGAGTCATACTGGTCATAATTATTTCAGCTCATAGAGTCATACTGTTCATAATTATCCTACTCATATAATTCTATTCTTCATAATTATCCTAACTCATGGAGTTATACTTTTCGTAATTATCCCAGCTCATAGAGTCATACCGTTCATAATTATCCCAGCTTATAGAGTCATACTGTTCATTATTATCCTACTCATATAATTATATCGTTCATAATTACCCCAACTCATAGAGTCATACCATTCATAATTACCTTGACTCGTGGAGTAATGCCGTTCATAATTATCATAGCTCGTAGTCATTACATGCGGGCATTCAGGAATCACATGTCGGTTACCTGGCTGAGAGGTCGTATGTTGGTCGAAGTTTAATGTATTCTTTGTTTAAACTCCGTACAAGGCTTTCTCTTCATTACTTATCTAATTTCAGTCAGAGTTGTCACGTAATTAGTGTATTAGAGCTGATAGTGAAACATATTATTCATCTCACAGGTTTTCTTTGTGTTAAACTACAGCTATTATTCTAGTGCATTAAATAACGTTATAAGATTTTTACTGCGTATGTGAGTCGCTTTGTTTGCCTGTCGCTGGATTTGCCTTCTCGTTTACTTGAGTATTGATATTCATTGTAAAGTAATGGAAGTAATGCAAGTTTTCGTTATCAGTGCTCAGCATGTTTAGAAACCCTCTGTACTTCGGCCAATAATTCTTTAGCATATATGTTCATAGAGTATGAAAGAACGTATGTTATTTCTCTAGGCATTCATAAAGTTTATATCTTAAATTGTCATTTTTAGTTTTATTGTGAAATTCTGAACTCGATCAGAGGGATGCGATCTGATCACTTAACAAGATCTGATGATCTGCACACATCAAGATTTAAAAATGAAATAAAATTCAGTGTTTGAGCTGGACAATAAATTGTTGTTGACGTCAGCTCTGCAGGTGTGGGTTGCTGTCGACGCGCTGACAACGACGCTTGTCCGCGTAGGGACGGCGGCAGCAGCCGCTGCTCGTCCGCAGGCCGAGACGTGCGGGAGGACAGCGACTGGCGCGGCGGTGGCCGGCGCTGGGGCAGCGCAGAGAGCGGCTTTGCCGAGCCCGATAGTGACGGACCGGCGGCCTGCCTCGAGCCACTCGCTGAAGTCAGGTACGGACCAGCGGCCTGCCTTGAGCCACTCGCTGAACTCAGGTACGGACCTGATCGAGCCACTCGCTGAACTCAGGTACAGACCTCATTTTTGGTCTGATTGAGCGAACATGTTTGCTTCAGTAATTTCAGTCACCAGGAGATCTAGCGCGCATTTCCCATGTCACGTGACATGACTCTTCCCTTGGCTTTGCTCAGCGCAGGTTTTATTTCTAAAGTATCAACTTTATCTGCAGCCAGCCAATCTCTGAAGGAACGACGAAATTCGAAAAATAAAGTTGGCATACACGAAATCTTTTGAACAGGACTTTAGAACGATCACATATTGCTCCACGTTCCTGATAAAAAGTAAACTAAGTATACTAAGTATATAAATAAAATGAGTAGATAAATAGTACATAAGTATACTACCTAGTATAAAATAAGAAGATAAATAGTATTCAAGTATTCTAAGTGTAAAACAGACTCATGACTCCCTGGGGAGCAGACTAATGAAAACGAACTTGAAATGGATAATGTAGATATAAGTGCAAAATACTGTCGGTTATTATAAGTGTATAAATTCCATGAAAAAAATCATTACAGGGAACGCTCAGAAAACAGCAGTTGCAGCAGCAGCAGTCGTTCGTCTCCAGCACACGTCGGCACTGCGCCGGTGTGTGAATTACAGAAGGCAAACTCGTGCAGCTCATCCCGAGGCCTGAACCTGCTGTTGCTGGACGCGGACCGCTTCAACGGAAACACAGATGACCTGCGCCACGTACCGGTCTCTGTTCAAAATAAAATTAACGTCTCATTTAATGCTTCCACGTCTCCCGTTACAAATTGCCGCAATTCAACTTCTCCGCTTCTGAACATTGACAATGCAACTTCTCCTCCTTCAAATTTAAACAATTCCGTTTATTCAGATACTGATAATTTATGTGCCAACAACGGGAATAAGTGTTTTATCCCAGAGTCCGTGAGAGAATTTAATCGAGTGAATGCCCTTCAAATCACCGAGAGTTTGGACACATCACACGACGATGCACTGAATTCCAACCTCGCTGGTATGGGGACCTCCCTGAGCCTGCAGTCCGGCGGCCAAGAACAGAACCGTCGAGCGTCGCGCGAGCGCTCGTCGAGTCCCGCGTCTCGCAGCGTCGTGGCCATCGGCGAGCGCGTCGACCTGGTCGCGTACTGCGCGCGCGAGTGGCGCGGCGAGACGGGCAAAGCTCACGCCGTCAGACGCGTGAGTTAATTGATGTGTCTGTTGAAGTGACCGCAGCAACTCGTCTGGTTATATTTAAATTAATGGCCAATAACAAAAGACTCATTTGCAGGTGATTATTTTTCTGGAGAAACATTACATGGAAATTCGTTTATCCAATTACAATGGTCAATGTGGGCTGACTTCAATAATATGTGTTGCAGGAGTTTTATTTATCTATTTCGTTATTATTCCTGTTGCTTCATTGTTTCTGTTTACATAATTGTTTACATTTACTGCGTCCTCACAGTATATACTGCGTCCTCACAGTTTATACTGCGTCCTCACAGTTTACACTGCGTCCTCACAGTTTATACTGCGTCCTCACAGTTTATACCTGTCTCTTATACACATCTAGATGTGTATAAGAGACAGGTTCATACTCCTCACAGTTTATACTGCGTCCTCACAGTTTATACTGCGTCCTCACAGTTTATACTGCGTCCTCACAGTTTATACCTGTCTCTTATACACATCTAGATGTGTATAAGAGACAGGAGTATGATAGGCACTACAATGTGCTAGTGGAGTAACTAGTGCTGGTAGGTGCAGAGGACGACAGGCACTACAATGTGCAAGTGGAGTAACTAGTGCTGGTAGGTGCAGAGGACGACAGGCACTAAAATGTGCTAGTGGAGTAACTAGTGCAGGTAGGTGTATTTTTTCGGCAAGTCTTCTACTTGATAAGTTTTCATAGTTACATTTCTGCCTATTTTATATATTTTAAGAGCCGTTCACTATTCGCCGAAAAGTCCTACTTCTAACGATACTCTATATTTATTTAGATTTTAGAAGGACGAATAAAGTTTTCCTCCTCACAGACTTTCTTTCAGAGTGTAAATCATTGTGAAATATGTACATTTTTTTTGGTAGACTATAGGTGGCGATTCATACGTCGCATTGCCATTCCTATATATCAAATTTATCTCTACCATATATCTATCTTGCTAAAGGGTGGTTAGATATTGAGTTTTGGACGCTCGCTGCGTTTAATAAATGATTTGACGATTTCTAGCTTCACAGGAGCTGAACTCAAATGTTACCCAATATGATCGTTTTTGATCACACGTCAGACGGTTCACGTTATTTAGAAAGTTATAAAGTTGTCTCTGTATATTCATTTACTATCATCTGTTATCTACTTCTTTTCGTAAATATGGAAATATTTGTAAGCATGCCAGTTTTTATTTTGTCATTATAAGGTTTCTGAAAATTATTGCATTACGAGTATTTTGATATGAAACGCCGTTACACAGGAAACATAGCGAAGATGGGGGCATCTGCTGATTTGTTCAGCCCAACCTAAAATCTTGAATGTGATACTACACATCGAACTTCATCAGCGCTCTTCAAGGATGCTGTGAAACTTCATCACCACCACTGCATCCCCGCTACACAAGATGCGGCGAAATTGCATCACCACTACTGCATTAACGCTTCAGAAGATGCAGCGAAACTGCATCACCAATACTGCATTAACGCTTCAGAAGATGCAGCGAAACTGCATCACCAACTGCGTCCTAACAGTTTATACTGCGTCCTCACAGTTTAAACTGTGTCCTCACAGGGCTACGAGAGCATCGAGCGCAGACTGGGCCTCAGAGGCCTGCGAGGCGTGCGAGGCGACCAGTACTGCGCCGTGCGCGCCGCCGTCTTCCAGGCGCTGGCGGGGGCGGTGCCCACACCCAGGGCGGCTCCCGCCTTCGCTCGTCTCATGGCGGAGGTGGCGGGCGGCGCCGCCTGGATACTCTCCTGGAGCTTCGGCAGCAGGCTGCACTACGGCAGCACCATCGACGGCATGCGCGACTGTCTCGAGACGCTCGATAATGTCGTGAGTTGCAACGCAGGCCGGGGCTTGAAAATGTCATGATTTTCTATATGCTATTTATGACAATTTTGGATTTTTGCGAAGCCAGTCACCGAATTTTGTGAGAGTTCATGGAATCATTTTCTAAGAATTTACGGTTTACTCTATAATCTTTGAAATTTTCAAGGATTTTACGCAAATCTAGGAGTTTTACTCTGGACTATTGTTTCAGCTTAATTAAAGAGACATTTTCTTTATATTCAGAGCGACGGTCTTATCGGACAAGCAGACCGCTGCGCTGCTCTCGTAGAGCTGCTCAACAGCGACGAGCGCCTGGACCTGCAGCTGTGCGAGGCTGTAAAGCTCCACATGCTGGCGTCTGCACTGCAGCTGCACAGCGTCAACGCGTGCGGTGGAAACGTCCCGCTCTTCGCCATGATTATCTTCGCCAGGGAGACAAGTCAGAACCCCGAGCAGTTCTTACGCAACCATCTCAACTGCGTCGGTGACACGGCTGGTCTCGAACAGGTATGGTAGAGGCCCAGCTATGTGCACTGGTTAATTATTGGGAAATTCATATCGAAAGACCTTCCAAAACAATTATAATTTCATCCAAACGATTATATATATTTCATTCAAAATAATTATAATTAGAATTTTTAAGTGAGTGTTGGACGTAGTTTCTCTGATGTGTGTTATGCCTTTTTTATATTTGTCTTCATCAGATAGAACATTGGTTATAGTTAAAATCATGAGTTTCTTCATCACAGCTACGGTCCTACTAATGACTTCTAACGTTTTTGTTGTATTACCAATTACAAGTTGAAGGAACTACTCCTTAGATTTGTAATGTTCTTGCTCTCGCCACAGATCGAAATGTTTCTACTGGGGCACAGCCTGAAGGCGACGCTGCAGGTGGTGCGCCCTTCCTTCTACGACCAGGAGGACTTCATCTGCTACTATCCTGACACGAAGCTTGATGAGTGGCCGCAACTGACGCTCATAGCAGAGGACGACAGGCACTACAATGTGCTGGTGGAGTAACTAGTGCTGGTAGGTGCAGAGTATGATAGGCACTACAATGCGCTAGTGGAGTAGCTTGGGCAGGTAGGTGCAGAGGACGACAGGCACTACAATGTGCTAGTGGAGTAACTAGTGCAGGTAGGATACTGCATTAACGCTTCAGAAGATGCAGCGAAACTGCATCACCAATACTGCATTAACGCTTCAGAAGATGCAGCGAAACTGCATCACCACTCCTGCATCACCACCACTCTATCGCCGCTCTCCGCATGCTGCGACCACATCAGATTTGCACTCCGCGTCACGTGTTGCTCATAAACTAATATCAGACTCCTGAAGAGTTGTATGATTTTAGTTGTTAAATGTGTGTACATTTCATCGTCATACCAATGATTCGAGAAAAAATTTCTCCTGCCTGTAATTCACTGTAATTATATGAATAGCCTCACTTCCACTATATTAAAACTAAGGAGAGTTAATTCAAAATTTGATAGTGAGGGGAATCGTTCATCATTCGTAATGCAGAGGGGCTTGACAGTCACATTATCCGCTCGCATGGACGGTGATCCTGTCATGTGATTACACGCCATCGATAAAAATGTTAATCATCTTGAAGTATTTTCAAATGAATTTCTGTATTTCTTTGATCTCATTTACAATTATTTGTGAACTCTTCAAGATGACGTATGAGAATTTCTCTATGAGAGAACATAATTAATTCTCTGTTGAACTTAGAATATTCGTTACCAATCAAGTGCAGCTCGCGTTGTTCACTCCTCGTAGCCTTCATTTGAAGGCGCGAACGTCGCTAGGAAGAAGCACTGGCCCAATGCACGGCCTTAATTGATCAAGTGCAGGCCTACTTTTATTTGACATTATTGACACTTGAAATGCGGACGTTTTTATCCAACATATGCAAGATGTAGTTATAATATCGGTGTACGTATTATCAAATATCACCGATCGCATGATCAGATGTAAAATCTTCCATTATATTCGTTGTTCTGCTTCATGAGCGTTGAATGACCATTTGCAGTATACATTCATTATTTATATATATTCCTTAGACATTCACTTCGCATCGCCTACCCTACAATTCTGAGGTAAGGAAAACCAAGAGTTTTTAACATCAATAACTTATATATTTTATTCTATTTAGTCACTGATCTCCTATTTGATTCCGTGCTGTAATACGGACTTCGTGTATGCGCTGCAGCACACTCCATGCGCGTGGTATATGGTCGTGCATGCAGTTCTACCATATAATAAACTATGCGAATCATGGTACGGCAATTGCTGACGCTACTTGTAAATAAATTAACTGAGATCACTCGCTGCTCCGAGCATAGGTGCGATTTAGGAAGCACCGGGAAATTTTGGCAATGACAAAACATAGAATTTTCTCTCTAGCGCAGACTGCATTATTTCTACTGTGGTCACGCTTGTGACGTTTTTTTTCTTGTTTGGGTTCGCCTACCCGTTTTGTGGCACTAATTCAAAAACATTTTGTAATATAATACCGATTATTAATAATAATGTTAAAAAAATATTAGTTTGCATTTAAATGATATATGCCGATGGAGGTCATGAATCTTTGTAACTAATTTTTCTCCTGGTGACCATCTGAATGTCTGAAGGTTGTTGATCCGAATCGACCCGCTAGGTTCCTCAGTAGTGTAAAGCTTACTTTATATTTTGTTGCCTTCGTATTATTGTTGATCGAAATGAAGGCTGCTGTTATCTAGTCACTGCGTGTGTACTCGTTATTATTGTTGTTGACAGTGAAGTGTCTTGTCTCTCGGCCCCTATGAACTTATTCTATCCATATTTTCGGAGAGAAGATGTCGGTGCAGGACACATTTTTCCTCCATTGACGCTCGTGCAGAAGAAGTTATCTCGCACCGTAGAGTCGTGGTGCACACGCAAATATTCTGCTAACTCATGAAATGGACGAAAATAATTCTAAGTTCTGCAAGTTTGTGTATAATGTTTCTATGCTTTAATAATTGATTGAATTAATTCTTTATTCATAAATTAAAACCACACGCGAAATGCATGGTAACGGTTGTTCCAGATATCAGTCGCAATTATAGTATTAACAATATATGCGCGTTTATTTATTTATTATTTATATTCTTACGATGCAGACTATTAAACCAAATAATTTTTTTAAACATTTTCTTGAGTTGATAGATCTTTGTATTAATAAAGTAACTGATTAAATTAATTTGGGATCTTAGTTTGGTCAACAGGCTGCATGATTCAGTAGGTTGACATATGAACGAAATCAAGTAAATTGGATACCATTCAAATAATGCTAAAATTTCGTTAATGTGATACTACCTACAGGAAGATTTTACAGGCGCAAAAAACTACTCGGAAAACAATCTCAAAGTTCTGACGAAGCCGGTGGTTTGAAGGTTGATAGCTGGAGTCCTCTCCTTAATGATGAGGGCCTCAGCTATCGCCAGTCGTATAGGATCGGGGCATCAGAACTTTGAGATTGTTTTCCGAGTAGTTTTTCGCGCCTGTAAAATCTTCCTGTAGTATCACATTAACGAAATTTTAGCATTATTTGAATTGATTCAGTAGGTATATATACATTCAGTCCATGTTCCTCAATGCCTCAGTCATTACTGAACATGGTTTTTACATGCATATGAAAATGATGATTGAGGCTCTTGTTGTGTGGTGGCTATAGTATAACTTGCCAATACCAAGCCACTTGTTACCATGATACTAGTATCGTTTATGAGACAAACAGGCCCAGGTTGGAATCAGTACCTTTATAAATAACGCCTTAGGCACAATTATTGGTGGTAGTTTGTACTGGCAAGTTATAGTGACTACCAGTAATTTTTCCTTCATCAACGTTTCGTTATTCGTCAGCACGAACATCCGAAGCGATTTACTAAGAACATACCATTAACCATAGGTAGTAATTTTTCCTTCATCAATGTTTCGTTATTCGTCAGCACGAACATCTGAAGCGATTTACTAAGAACATACCATTAACCATAGGTCCGTTCCTAGGGGGATTGTTCCTGAGCGCCCCACCGCTGAGCTCGCGGTGTCTGACCGTTGGTCTCAGTTGTGGGGTTAAGTTATTATGTAGGTAGGATACCTTACATTAAGTTATTATGTAGGTAGGATTCCTTACATTTCCCTTCTCTGTCTGTCTCGTGCGGGCGGCCGACGTCCGTGTAAGCGACCTCTTGTTCGAGTGTCATCGTTTCTGTTATTTTCACCTGTCCCTCCTTGTCACTTCGTCTCTTTGAGATGCTAACGCTGTTTCTTTCGAGCCAGCTTCAGCGGGATTGACATCTGAGACCTTCCACCCCTTGTGGGTGATGACCTATTTTTGATTAGAGAAACTTTTGATAATTGAGACCTTCCACCTCTTTGGTGATGTTCAACATGACTTTCGGTGCGAGATAGCTAAATAGCTGAAGCGCTAGTAAACCTGTGGCCACTAAACTAACTAACTAACCATAGGTCACGCATTCCGCGTTCTTATCAGGTATTTATTATATCGTCTGCCAAATCCTGTTCACTCTCATCGCCCAACTTGACGCTCATACTTCAAGTTTTGATTTGGCCACCATTCAATCAATTGCATTTTAATTTGCACGACATTAAATTTTATTTGCACGTCGACGTCTTTACACATGATACTTTTTCGCTTGGTATTTATCGGTTCAGAAGATCGTTAGGAGTTCTTTTTCCTACATTTCCATTATACTCAGTCTTCCATCTAATTATGAGTATTGAACCTTCGATCCTCTCTGATAATTACTCAATGAAAGTGTCAAGTATCCTCGTGTTTCTGGCCCCGCAAAGCGTGCATGCTTTGCGTCTGGGCTCAGGACGCACCCGTCACATAGTCTGTCGTACGCGCACTCCAGCACGCTCAATTTATGTATCGCTATCAATTATTTTTTGTTGTAAATGTTCACGTTTTCATGAAAATTTTTTTAAAATTTGATATTTATAAGGGTTATTCACAGTTTTTTTATATTGAGGTAGCGAAAATCTTAAATTCTGACATGCGAGCTACGGTTTTAAAGCTTTGCAGTTCAATTAAAACTACGAGAGCTATTGAGAGCTTGCTGAACATTTCTTTTGATGCCGTTTTTGCAGCATTATGGGAACATTGCTTTTTGATGTGGAATTACTCGTCTGAATCTTACTCGTCTAAAGAATAAAATGACTCATGACTAATAATCGATTCAAAGTAAACCAGTAGCGTTCAAGTCTCAACTTTATATTTCTCTCGAGTTGTGTGTTGCTTGACGTGGTTCAGTCGGCGCCGGTGTGTAGAGGCTGTTAGGGCGTGTCAGACGCCTGCATACCGAACACTTGTTACAGGTTAATTAGTTTAGTTTGTTCTCTTAACGTGTGTCGAGGCCAGTTCTGCCGCAACTGTTCATTTAACATGAGTGAGGTTGAGACTAGCTTCACTTACTTCGGTCTTCTCAGCACTAAGCTTGTGGCTCAGCCATTTAATTACTGTTAATGATGTGAAATATTTTTTGAAAGTCAATGTACTTTCCGCGCGTCAAGGAAGTTGTTACTGAGGAGATTGTAATAGGGAGTTATACCGCATACATTTTGAAATGAAAATGTATAAATACCAATAGATATATTTTTCTTGCGCCATTAAGTTGGGCAAGATGGTCACCTCGTAGTTTATTAGAGTGAATAACTTTTAAGCCTGCTATATGAACCTGCACTATTTGTGATCCGTAGGAATTTAATGCATGGTGAAGGTTTAATTCTAGTTCTGAGCTATTGGGCCTGTGGTTATTTGGCAGAAATTATTTCCAAATTCTCTTTATTTTAAACAAAAATTCTTTCCCCGATATCAGTATAAAATAAAATGCCGACAAGTTTGTGGTTAGTTAATTGATCGATTGGATGCAGGTGAAACAATATATCTCATGTACAAGCTCTGCCAGTACATGAGATTTTTGCTGCATTATCCGCAAATACTATCATTGTTGAGGGACTTTGTACAGTATTGTT